ACAAAGATATTTGACGTTACTGTAGACATTTGCAGTCTGAATAACATATCCAAAAATCATTAAAAATACTTTATCTATTAAAAATATTTATGGGAAAGAAAAATACTCAAATTTTGTAGTTTTTCTCTTATAACCGGAAGTCGTCGTTTTTGTTTCCGGTGGGACTGACATATTTCGAAACTACAAATGAAATACTATTTTGTGCTGCTAAAAAAGTTTCAAAAAAGAAAAGTTGAAATTTTCGATTTCTTTGATCACTTCCTGTGACGACCGGAAGTGACGGCGAACTGTGTTAACCCAAATGGTTTTGCCTACTTATCAAGATCTATTACTCATATAAGTTTGGTGTCTTCATCTCTTACCGTTTCTGACATATGACTGGGACAAAAAAAATTTGAAAAAAGCGGAAATCGGACATGTCTGACGACCGGAAGTGAATTTTGAAAAACTGAAAACTGCATTTGAAAGATATTTTGACTCTCTATCATCTCTGAAAATTTCATGAGAATCCGTCCAGTCATCTCTGAGAAATCGTCAAAACAAAAAGGGAAAAAAAATAATAATAATAAAAAGAAAAAACAGTAGAATCACTATAAGGTCTTCCGTCTGAAACGGAAGACCTTAAAAAACAGTAGAATCTCTATAAGGTCTTCCGTCTGAAACGGAAGACCTTAATAATAAAAAGAAAAAACAGTAGAATCTCTATAAGGTCTTCCGTCTGAAACGGAAGACCTTAATAAAAAGAAACAGTAGAATCACTATAAGGTCTTCCGTCTGAAACGGAAGACCTTAATAAGAAACAGAGTAAAAACAATATGTTCCCCAACTTCGTTTGGGGAACATAATAAGAAACCGAGTAAAAACAATATGTTCCCAAACTCCGTTTGGGGAACATAATAACGATATACGCTAAAACATGCATCACATAATGTGACAATGGATGTCTTGAAATACGTTTTCGTGTTAGGGGCCCATCAAGGGGACATTGAAACTTATTTAATGATAATAAATAACGTTACAATTTTTGTATCCATTTTATCACAAATATTCTGTTTTTATTCACCATCAATGCCTTTGCAAGTTCCAAATATTCATCCAGTAAAAAATAATGCTTTTGTTTAACAAGTTTTCTGTATGACCACTGTGTACAGGTCCAGTACAATCACTAGATTTAGTTTCGTAGGTAGAATATTACCAACGTAGCTTTATTTAAACCTACTTCTGGTAGCTTTATTAAGCTATTTCAATGAAACTTTTCCCAAGTTTTCTTTTTATTACGAGACAAAAAAATCGCAATTAAATGACTATTATTAATTATTTATACTTGGGAGGTTTTAAAAAAAATCCAAAGCAGATATAGTTTATACAATGTTGCATTTGGACAATTTGGAGCAAAACATGTAATTCCATTGTAATTGTCCTCTCTATTGGGTGCGGTGAGGCATGACTGAGTATGATTACTTCACATTGTTCTAAATTAATTACCGACCTATTATCATGTTTTCTTTGTCATTTCATTCAGGGATAGCTGCAGAACTGTAGCTCTCTGCTAGAAAAAATTGGGACAGGTAAAGCAGAGAGCTACAGATCGGACATCCATGCGTTGTAAAAACCTTCGATATACGCCGACGATTTTTTCGTCGCTATTTTTATAGGTATTTATTATGTGTAGTTTTAGCTTTTTCTGGCTTTTAGAAGGGTATCAGATAATTAATCATATATTTAACTCTTATATTTGATACTTTATTTACCTTTTAACGGCCCGAAACAGCCCTGTAAATTAATAGTTTTGTAATGTCGGTTTAAAAAGGTTCCATTTCGACGTCCGTAACCTCAAACAGTCATTTGTTAACGTTGAAAAGGTAAGTTAATTATCATGAATTGAAGTTAAGTGTATGATTATTTATTAAATACCATTCTTAAAGCTGGGGAAAGTATAAAATACAAGAAAAAATACCCGAAGTGAGCGACAAAAAAATCGTTGGCGTAAATCGAAGGTTTTTACAACGCATGGATCTGTAGCTCTCTGCTTTATCTGTCCGAATTTTCTCAAGCAGAGAGCTACAATTTTGCAGCTAATTCAAGGAGTAACTGTTCTAACTGTCATACATAGCTCCAAAACTTTCAGAACTTTGATTGTAATTGCGCGGAAATAGACAATTCTTCAAGAGTGATTTTTACATATTTGTTTTCAGATAGGTTCAAAGTTGAAATCGTTTTTTCCCCACATCCACTTTTGGCGATTGTTCCCAAACCTGTTTATTGTCATAATTATGTATTCTGAATTTACTTGTTGGGGATAAATTTTGTTATCAAGTGTAAACATCCACCTAGTAAATCTAAAATTTACAACATGATACCTAGCAAATATCCAGCTTCTGAAAAAAAAGTCTAATCCCCCATTCACCCCCTCCCCCTCCCCTACCTGCAAAAAAGAAACAAGATTTCATGTGTACATTTTAAATATATACTGAAAGGAAAAAGAAACGCAGGGTAAACTTTTGAGGTGAATTAAATTTGTTTTTCTTAAAATATGTTTTAGTTTTCCTATCTAACTTTTAAAATCATCTTTCAAAAAGATATAACCAACTTCCCATTTGATTTTGTCTAATAATTCATGAGTTATTGAAGCTCAAATGACGATACCCCCCAAAAGTGAAAATCGAAAACTCTCATTATCTTCAATGTCTCTCCTGTGCATCTGTCAGAGCCTTATTTCTCCTTTGCATGGAATTTCATCTGAGTGTTTATCTTTCAAACCCTGGCTATATTTCGCATGGGTAACCACGCAAAAAATAAGTCAAACGGCGTGCGCATGCGCAAGTGAGAGGAATACAACAGTAAGTTGACTGGCTCAAAAAACCAAATTGTGGAATTGTTTTCTTCCAAATTTCGTATGAATGTAATGATTATAATCATCTACTCTATAAATGGCTGTTTTTGTGGAAGTAAGGTGGCGATTTAAGAGATGGCAGCACGAATAACTCGCTCGTAACATGGATCTGTTTCGCGTTAACGTCAACGTCACGGTTGATTGAAAACCATTCCAGACCCTCTCTGACAACGGGTAACAAGTTTTATGGGGGAAAATTTACAAGAAACTGCTTAGTAAACCGTTGTTGCCTTTTTCATTAATTGGACATTCGAAAACAGGACCCCATTGATCTTCCCTAAATTGTGCCAAGATTGCAAGAAATTCATTATGTCTCTTAATTTTGAAAAACGATGTGCATACCTCATATGCATCAAATAGTGCAACAATATTTGTTGACAAACTCGTCGTTATCAAATTGCACGTGTTTTGGGCTTTTTAGCGTTTTCCCTACGTGACGTCATAAATTTTAAGGTTGAGTAATTCTGAATACTGATTTTGGTGCACAGTAACTAAATTTCTCTTCTGACCAATTTTCGTTATTTTCGGTCATGTGGTCAAAATTTTGTCGAACATTAGGCTACCCTGCGTTTCTTTTTCCTTTCAGTATATTTGAAATGATTTGACAGATATGAAGAACAGAAGACTAACAAAACTGCGCATGCGACAATAGTTGTGTCAACACCAGGACAAACACCATGTACTACAAAGGCACTGAGTGAATCAGAAATTAGTCAAATTACATCATCTGATCAAGAGCCACATTAGTTAATGTATTTTGAATTGTACATTGTATATGAAAGATTTATTTGCATGTCATGAGTATTATCAGTTTATTGATTTGCTTTGAAATGTGAAAAAGTAATGTTATAACAAGTAAGAATAATTTGTTAACAGTGTTTGGGTAATCACTTTTAGAGAATCTGAAATGTCTAGTGTTGAGGACTTCCATGGCTTAAGGTCAGATAAAAAACTAAACGTGGACAAATCCAGCAGTTTCATCAACCCGTTTGAGTAAGTATCAATTAATTTTGACATATTTATGAACTTTTAGAACACTATACAATGTTTTATATTATACAAATATAGCCCTATCATGACGTCAATCCATAGATATATCGACTTCACAGAAAAGCATATCGATCTCACATGAGCCTAACGGTGTTGCGTGAGGTCCATATACTTTTCTGTGAAGTGGATATAATGTATATCAATGAATGGACAAAAAAAGGACTATATTTCTTTTAACTATTTTCTGCAAAATACAAAGGCTACATGAGTTTTTTAAAGGAAGATTGTCAAAATGTAAAGAAAGAGATATATTATTGAAGAAATAATTCCTGCGTCAGAGGATTATATTGTCAGCTTTGTTAAATTAATTTCTAAGTTGATCCTTATGTCGCTTGTTTGAATCCCACTGTGGTACATGAAGACCGGTCCTTCAGATGAGACCATATAAACCGAGGCCCTGTGTGGCAATAGGTGCTGGCACAAAAAAGATCCCTCACTGCTAAATGGCTATAAGTGCTGTGGGTAGCTAGGACTAAATTTGAGGCTCTATGCCGGCAAGTGATGGCATCTTCATATGAGTGAAAAATTATATAGAGGGACGTTAAACAACATATACATGTAGTACAAACAAACAAAAATTACAGGATCTTTCTTCAGATTATCACCTTTCATTGTGAATTATATTGTGTGTGTGAAAGATTTGAGAAATAAAAATATTGCTACAAGTTCTTTTTTTTTTACAGACTTACTATTGATATATCTGAAAATGCTGAGATGTCTTACCAGTCATCAGATGACGAGTATGTGCCAAGCTTTGATATTACTTTACAGTAAGTTGAATTAACCTAATGCACTTTACTACTAGAAAATTTCTTTTTTAATGCTGGGTATTACCTCAATATTTGTGACATCATCACATTTAATGAAATTGTTGATGATTACTCTGAGTGGATTTATTGATGTGAAACAAACTTGTGAATATTATTTATTGAGTGTGAGACACAAATGCAACCAACTTGGACCAATTATTATACATGTATAAACAATTAATTGATCAAAAATATACAATTTTAGAGAAGCCAATATCTAAAAAAAATGATGAAAAGTAAAGAAAATTTAATTAAAACAATACCTGTAATAGATTTTACTCATCATGTTTATGAACATGTCAATATTTGTTGATATATTTTTTTTGTTTTCATGGGGGAAGGGGGCAGTAAATTGAAAATTATTTCATTAATTTAATTTTTTTCTTTTAATTTAAGACCAAATACAACTGTCAATATTGAAGAAGAAGAAGATGAAGGTGCTGATATGAATGAAAAAGATGGGTCAGATGAACCAGCTGTTGATATGGGTCCAGGCATACGAAGAATAGATGCAACGAATATAGATGCATTTATGTCAGACAGACCTTATCTTGTATATATGGATTGTCTTCTGAAGCTGGCTCATACTAATGTTAGACAAACCTGTACCCTGTCAGATTGCCATAGTGAAGTTACCTTAAAAACAGATAATGTTGGATCTGCCCTATACTTAACATGGGTTAGTTATAGATACATGTAGCTATATATTTCATTACTGAAGAAATTAAAATGTGGTTCTGTATATACATGTAGATATCACAATGTCTATTCATCCATCAATCTGTATATCAACACTTTTGGAAGATACATAATTCTTTTTATTTCTGCTTGTTTCAAATTTTCAAATCTCAAGTGACCGTTCATGGTAGCTTAGTTGGTAGAGCTTTCGCCCCGTAATCAAGAGACCGTGAGATCAAATCTAGACCGTGAATGACCTAAGTCAATAAAAAATGGGCAGCAACTACAGTACTCCTTCACCATCGGCACTTTGAATACTCTGTGTCATGGTAAATGTCGGCACGATAAAGATCCCTCACTGCTCAATGGCCCTGAGTGCTGAGTAAAGGTCAAAATTACATGTAGAAGCTCTTCACTGCTGTATGGTGACATCTTTATATGAGTGTAAAACAACATACAAACAATCAATCAAATCCAAGTGTTACCTTTCTTTGTTATACATACAGTCATGATACAGGCCTGTAGAGCTACAGTCTTGTCAGAGACTTCTGGTTATGGGATTGGCCATAGACTTAGATTTTGATGCCATTTAAAAAAGTAAAATGTTGTCATGTACAATTACATGTAATTATATAATAGTAGTGAGAGGAATGAGACAAATTATAGATAGGAGGTTGAAATTTTTGTACATTCCGAATGACTTTGTCAATTTATTCACAGTATTTTGGCATTTTTGTAATTTATATATACCGGTACTTGATTATTTTTTAAGGTATGCAAAAATGGTCATGTGCAGAACAAATGGTGTTCCCAACCACTTTTGAACAGGCGGCTACACACTGGAGACTTGCTCTTGGCTTCTGCAACTGTCTTATCGGGAAATAATTTCCAGAAAATAGATTTGTTTGCGAAAGTACTGGGTCTTCCAATCTTGAGTTCCTCAACATTCTTTAAAATACAACGTACATATATTGTTCCATCAGTAGACCATCATTGGACAAGCCATCTTGATTCTGTATTGGAAGAGTTCCGTGGGAAGGAGGTTGTTGTTTTTGGTAAATATTACTTGCTGAAACCTGGACATCTTATATAAAATAGATAGTTCATTTGTTAGAAGAATTTAAATTATATCTGATCTGAAATTAACACTGATACAATAAACTACATGTATCCTAATATTTATGTTTAGGTGATGGAAGAATGGACAGCCCAGGTCACTCTGCACAATATTGTTCCTATACGTTCATGGAAATGGAAACCAAGAAGATACTGAGCATTGTAACCATGGATAAAAGAATGACTGGGGGGAAAAGTACCAACCTTGAGAAAGCTTGCTTTGAAAAAGGCTTGCATTCTCTACTAGATGCTGGTGTGAACGTGGTTGAAGTTGTGACCGATGCACATCCTCAGATAGGAGCATTAATGAGTATGTAATTAAAATAACATAAAATTATAATTTTTCATAAAACCATCATGCATACATACACAATTCTTTCCATTCAATTTTTCTAGTTTAAAAATTAGTCATTGAAGTGTTTGAGGTCAATTAACCTAGCTGTTTTATGTTTGTTATATGTCAAATTTAGCTTTCATTTACAAAATATAATTTGAAACCTTCAGTGATTTTGACAGTAATGTTTATTATTGTGTCTACTTGTCTTGTGAAAAGAACTCGTGTGTAGAAAATGTAAACCATGTTCTATGACATGTTTCATCAAAAAAGAATATATCTTGATGACTCTTTAATTTTTACTTCTAGAGAAACCCCAGTATCGCAATATAAAACATTCGCTGGATATATGGCATGGTACCAAAAATATTGGAAAAAAAATCATTCAGGTATAACAGTATGAAAAAATCTGGGTCTATGGTTACAGCTTATAATGATAAACAGGCAGAAAAAGATTCCTAAATTTGTAAATGTATGTTAAGAACTTTTATTACTAATATCTGTGCAAGCAAGAATTATTACATAAGTCCTTCAAGTAAATAGTTAAACAGACAATCTTACTTTGTATGTTCAAGTTAAACTATTTTTCAGGTTGCTCAGGAGAAAGGGAAAAAGAACAAACAACTATTCGACTGGACAAAAGACATTGTTAATCACTACTGGCACTGTGCCTCCATCAGCACAACTGTTGAAGAATTTAAGGTACGTTTAATTAAAGATAAGACATTTAGGTAGGTTCAAAGTGACCATTATACATCTGCAACTAAGTTGGGGGATTGTTTGTGAGGATTTTCTTTGCCATTTGATATAACATTGTAAAGCTTCATCCCAAAACTCCCCTCAAATAGTAAAGATAGATGAAGTTTGTTCAAATCATGACCCCAGGGGTGAGGGTGCTGCATCAATGGACAAGCAATTAGTATTGCACAAGAATATATAGCGAAAAACTTTATACACCTTCTTCTCAAGACCAGGTAATCCATGATCAGTCATACTTATTAATTCAGAAACAGTCAGATAGTGTATGACTAGATTCAAATTTGTGTAGGTCATGGGTAAACAATAAAAAATCAAACTTGTAGAAAGAAATCTTTAAAAAATCTAAAACCATGATCAGTCCAAGAAATGAAGAAGCATCTTGTAGATTAAACAAATCATGCACATTCCCTCTGGGGAGGGAGTATTGGGGACCACTAATATTTAATCTTTTGAATGGTAAAAACTTGTTTCTGTATTTTTTTTTCTTAGCCAGCGTGTTCAGATGAGTGATGTGGCCCTTGGGCCTCTTGTTTTAAATGATAAAATGTGTTTAATTTTAAAATATATTTTAGGGTCACTGGATTGGTATTTTGCATGTTGTAAATGAACACCAGTGGATCTTGTCATACAGTGATGATTTCGAAAACAACAAGTGCAACCATGGGCCATTGCCTGCAGAAAGCAACAAAAGTTATCTGGAAAAAGGTTCAGATGCTCATATTGCCTTGCGAGGAATTGTCCTAAATACAAGATTATTAAATAGTATTCATTACTATTTAAATTGCCGGTAAGTTTATTGCAAGAATAATAGTTCGAATTTTACCTCAAAATTATAATTTTAAAAATCACCAAAAATGAACTCCAGATGAACAGTTAATTTGTAATGCTATATTATGTCTCTTATTGATTGACCATTTTTTACAAAGTATGTCTTTGCCCCAATTTACATGTAAGTGTATTGGGAAATTGTCGCACCGATCCGTTTTATTATAATTTAAATAACAAAGTGATTTAAGAAAGATTCTGGTTGAGCATTGCTCTTGATTCACTGCATTTCTGAATTCATAGTTATGTGCTTTTAATTCTTTTTCCACAGGAGCACTGCAGATCTGGAAATCTTCCAAAATGAAATCCTAGCCTATGCATCAAAAAGACACTCTTATTGCCCACCTGTGTATAGAGCTAGAAATCGTTTAGCTGCTTTAGACCACAATATTCATATTGGTAGACCAGCCCTTACCAAAGACGATGGAAATCCAAGGTAGCTGATTATATTAACATAATAGTAATACGCATTATAATATGAATATGGATAAATATCATGCTAAACTAATTCCTCACTATAACTTGATATAAACATTAATTCCAAGTGGGTTACCAATTAAATCTTAGGCAAGCTAAGTGATTATGAAATTACACTGTATATGCAACTTTATCATGTTGGATTACAAGTTTTTATTTGTTTGACACTTCGATGGAAAAGAACTTTCAACAAAAAATCAGCCAGATGGTCTGTCCAGTCAGTGAAAGAAAAAAAGACATATCCTCATCTTCCTGGCATTGTGCGCAATATTATCCAGATGAGAATAGATGATAATGTTGGTATGAATGCCAATGTGGTTCTCGAAGCTGATGATCCTAGAAGAATTGCCAAAAACATTACATGTGTTCCCCCACCTCCAACACTACAAATTGCCTTAGAACAAAAGTCAAGGTCCATAAAAGAGGATCCGGATAAAACTATCGATTATTGGGATAACTGAGCACTTGATCTGGTGAGCAAGTTATGAAGAAAACATATCATTCTTATATTTATTAATGAGCAATTTCCAAATGTAACAAACCAGTTTTGTTTGTGAAAGATTTGAAAATAATGTATGTGATCTGCAAAGATTTTTAAGACCAGTTTAGAATTTTCATCAAGGCCAATGAAAAATTATTGTTTATTTACTTTGAAGTAATTTGAGGTTCTATTGTTTATGTAGTTTGAAGTTATTTGAGGTTCTGTAAAAATTATGCTTTTAGGGTAAACAGATGAAAGTTGTATCTAAGACTTGTGTTTGCTTTTAACTTGCTTGGACTAAAACAGTGAACAATTTAGCATTGTAAGGATGTGATGCTTAAGAAATGTTTTATAAACTTTGCAGAAATGTAGGTTGCTTGTCTTTTAGTGCTATGTTTCAAATATTCAAAGCTATGATTGTACCAACTATAACTTTTAGAGCTGAGCAGGAAAAAGATTTTGAATTCATATTATGAAAAATGTAAAATAAATTCTGAAAGTATATCCTCATAGTGTTTAGCAATATATTTACCCATAGTACAGCTGTTTTCATTGAATGTGAAAGTTTTCAAATACTGATGAGAATCAACACTGGTACCAAATGTGTGAAATTGTTTCTTATGTCAGACCCCAAAGTTTTGTTATAAGTTAACCTGAGCCAAAGTCTCAAATGAGCTTTTACAATTCCATCTTCTGAACCACAGAGCAAATTTCGATCAAACTCTGCACAAGTTTTCGATTGGTAAAGGGAATCCAAAATCATGTTAAAAGATATACTGGTTGACAAGAGATTGAAGATATATATTTTATAATGTGTACAAGTCGTATTCATTTTATCAAATATTCTAATAAATTTGAATACTCCTATCAGATATAAATAATTGAAAATTTTCATATCCCTAGTATAATGTAATTCCCATGATTTGATTGGATATGTGCCCAGATCCATAGATCCAGAGCGTATATTGTTTTCGTTCTGTTTGTTTCGAACTTGATCTTTCACCATAACTTTTGAACCATAAAAGATAGAAACTTCATATTTAGCACGCAAACTCCACTAATTAAGCTCTTTTAAATTAACTGTGCCTATAGGCTAAAAATAGCTTTTTTTCTGCAAACTTTAACCTTCGCCATAGCTTTTGAATCCATGAAATATAGAGACTTCATATTTGGTATGCATACTCCACTAATCAGGTTCTTTCAAATGACACTGAGTTCAATGACTTTGTGACCTTGACTGTGACCTTTATGCTGAAAATAGCTTTTTTGAACCCTCACTATAACTTTTGAACCATGAAAGATTGAGATTTTATATTTTGTAAGCATACTCCACTAATCAAGCTCTTTCAAATTACACCAAGGTCAATGACCTTGTGACCTGGACTGTGACCTTAATGCTAAGAATAGCTTTTTTCCATCAAGTTTTTTGCTTTATATATCCCTTGGTTTTAGTGAGATGGATAAAAATGGGAGACATCTTAGGAGTAATTTCTAGTTTTAAAAAAAAGTTAACAATTAAATTTTTTTTTAAATTTTGTGTTCAAGCACTATCATAGGATTCATAGTAGGGAAACTTGATTTAATTGTACTTTTGTATCAAGATAAGTGTAGTTTCTAATTTAATTGATATGAAATTCATATACAGATAAGACAAATGTGTCTAGATACAGATTTTAATTTAGCCAATAATGAATAAAAAGTGTCCGTGTATTATTTAGCCAAGTCTACCATCAATAAATCCAACATAGTGTCCAAATGGATCAGGATATTTATCTCTTATGCGCCAAATAACACAACTTGGGATGACCCTTCTATTCCCTGCTCCAAGATGGCCATGGATCCAAAGAATGTATTGTCTATAAGCAGCGTAACGGTTTGCCCTGTTTAAATTTTGGTCTCTGGCTTCAACCAGCATGTCTTCTCGCATACGTCTTGCAACTTCTAATACCAACTCATCCAGTACTATGATGTCAAAATCCTGCAAATGATTAGTTCACATTTAGGAAAAGGAAAGGCTAAACTCTTATTGATGATCACTCGGAATTACATTAAGCCATTTGTCAACAAATTAGGTTTTGTTAAATTTTAAGGCTTTTCAAACTGAAGGTACTCGAAAAAATGTACACTCCACTCTACCCAGGATACTTCAAAACTTACTCTTAGTCTGAAATGATAGTTTGAGGGTGTCTTATTACAGCGAACTTTCTCTGTGTCTACTGGCATCTCACGACAGAAAGTGCATGGACACCAGACTGGAACATTAACACAGGAACTGCCAGGCCTGTTGCTATTGTCATTTGTTGTATGAGCATCAATTATATCCAATACAAATGAGGGCTGTCTCTGATACATTCTCATGACTAATCCACGCAGCTGCTCTGGGGTCTAAGTATTTATCCGTTCCTACAGGTAGATTAGAAGAGACAGATTTGGTGATATTTTTCAAATGTAGATCAATATCATGAATATTGAAAAAATAAAAATTCAAATGTAGTGATTCTTACTTGAACATCTGTTTCTCTGATCTCTGCCATGGCAGTTCTATTAGTCAGATCCTGTTGTCTACCATGTCCATTGCGCATTGACAACCCTCTTCTTTGTCCCTGCCTTGTTCTTCCTTTTTGTCCCTGCCCTCTTCCTCCAACTGAATACCGGTTTCTTTGGATAGACCCTTTTTCTGGCGACGCAGACCTTGATCTGCTCGTATCCTTAAAAATAAAACATCAAATACATAGTTAGCCTAAAGAAAACGAGCGTTAGTCTCACACCCTCCCCTTCATAACATATATATATTTAAAAAAAATAAAAAATAAAAAATTAGGGACCAATAAAGACGATATATGTATCCTCAATATAACTGTTTTTTTTACTTGCATACCATTGGATAATTTTATTCTATTTATAATAATAAGAAATGTCCACAGGAGTCGGCAATTTTATCAATAAACCAATGTAAACGTTAGGCTACCTGTGAGCTTTGTTTATTGATAAAACTGCCGACTTCTGTGGAAATGTTGTGCTGTGAAGGCACCCGCAAAATGTTGATCGATGATGAAAACGTTTTTTTTTTTTTTTTTTTTGTAATAAAAGCTTAATGATAATAAATGAATAAATCGTCATTCAAGGCCCCATCTCTCTGCACGTTTGATGTTTTTTTTTTCTCAAAAACCCTTTACGGGACCCCAATCACATCCAAAGTAATATAATGCAATTTCTTGGCTTGAATTAATTATTTTTTTCATTATGAGAGGAGCTCGCACTCATGTCGTACCAAATTTCATTAGTTATGAAAATAAATTGACATATCCAAAGAAAATAAATGATTGTTGACTTCCATGTGCTTACCTCGGAATCCATGTTTGATCGAATGATGCTGAGGTCACTTGTCACGTGGTGCGTTTCGGTAATCTTCGGAGTATCAATCGAAAACTAATCAGCTATGACGTCCAGCACGAAACTAAACGAATCAGCGAGGTTCAAGAAAAATCTAGAGAGCTTTGAAGTTTTATATTCAAACTAGTATTGTGATGAAACACGATTATAAATGATGCTGTGTAAGTATATGAATTAAAAAATGGTATCTGCGATTGTTTATTTGGCAGCTAATGCGGCTTTAAAGAATTTGAATCTTCTGCTCTACTTGAGTGGTCTGTCCTTACTCCAGATTTGGACATGACATATGAAACCATTGTTAACAAGTCCTCAAGAGATATTACTATTGAACGCATTGAAGGAAATAATTTTAAGATGTATGAACACAAGTGGAAGGATTTGGAAATAAATTCTATTTACATTCTTCAGTTGTGTACAACAAATGCAGTTGGTTAAAATTGTAGTTCAATTTGATGAACAGTGTTGCCATGGTTATTAAAAATAGAATTTTCTGTGAAATTCCTTAAAAACGCTACTCCATCTACAGTTTTGGTCTAATTTCAATATAACTTGGCACACAAGTAGACTACACTAAGATACATAGAATATTGCATTGGTTTTTGATTTCGATGAACGGTGTTACCACGGTTACTAAAAATAGAATTTTCTGTGAAATTCCTTTAAAACGCTACTCCTTCTACAGTTTTAGTTTGATTTCAAAATAAGTTGGCACACAAGTAGACTACACAAAGATACATAAAATAGTGCAATGGTTTTTGATAAGTACAAACCAGTAGAGCTACAGTCTCCACAGAGACTTCTGGTTAAAATATTGCTGCATTACTTCTGATGAACAGTAAAAAACCCTTAAGACTATAAAATTGCCAAATGTTTTGTTAAACATGCAATTTTCGATTTCCGTTAAGCAGACTAAAACTTGACTTCCGGTTATGGTTTGGAAATTATTCAACCGTTAATTTACTGATGGTTACTAAATTGAAGATATTCGTAATTTTAAGATACAAAATTCTTTACTGTACATAATTATTTCCCCCTAAAATAGAGTGTTGCGTTTCTTTTGAGTGTCAGTATATTTTTAACTATTTTAAAAGCTGAAAAAAGATACAATAGCCAGTGATCAAGCAGTTAAACTGTTATTAACAGTTAATGCATTTTTAGGTTAGCCAAATCTGACCTTTTGACTTTGACCTTGGAGTTTGACCCAATTTTACACAAAAATTCCAAACTTTGACTTTGGCCAAAACTTTTGAATGGTAGGTACTAGGACTTTCATATTTCACATATATGTATTCTTTGTAGGAAGACTTTTTATTGGATACCAGAAATGTAATAAACCAGAAGTCTCTGTCGAGACTGAAGCTCTACTGGTTTGTAATTCTAGCAAAGGAAGAGAAAAGTACTTAAAAGCAGTTGGGAACTGAAACTTTTCAACAGCAATAAATAGAATAATGATCCCTGACTTGCATGCCACATTATATTATGATCAGGACTAAAACTGTATTTGGAGTAGCATTTTGAAATAATTTCACAGAAATTTCTATTTTTAGTAACCACGACAACACCGTTCATCGAAATCAAAAACCAATCAACAGAATTATGTATCTTAGTGTAGTCTACTTGTGTGCCAAGTTATATTGAAATCAGACCAAAACTGTAGGAGGAGTAGCATTTTGAAATAATTTCCCAGAAATTTCTATTTTTAGTAACCCCGGCAACACCGTTCAACGAAATCAACCAGTCTCTGTCGAGACTGTAGCTCTACTGGTTTGTACTTATCAAAAACCATTTCACTATTTTATGTATCTTTGTGTAGTCTACTTGTGTGCCAACTTATTTTGAAATCAGACCAAAACTGTAGAAGGAGTAGCGTTTTAAAGGAGTTTCACAAAAAATATTCTTTTTTTAGTAACCATGGCAAAACCGTTCTTCGTTATAAAAAACCAATGCACTATTCCATGTATCTTAGTGTAGTCTACTTGTGTGCCAAGTTATATTGAAATCAGACCAAAACTGTAAGAGTAGCGTTTTTAAGGAATTTCACAGAAAATTCCATTTTTAGTAACCATGGCAACACCGTTCATCAAAATTAGAAACCGATGCACTATTCTATGTATCTTAGTGTAGTTTACTTGTGTGCCAAGTAATACTGAAATCAGACTAAAATTGTAGGAGGAGTAGCGTTTTGAAAAATTGTTTACAGAGAGACGGACAGACAGACAGACGGACGGACGCCGGACGCATTACTATCGCATAAGCTCTTCTGGTCTCTGACCAGTAGAGCTAAAAACCGATACACAGAATTATGTATCTTAGTGTAGTCTACTTGTGTGCCAAGTTATATTGAAATCAGACCAAAACTGTAGGAGGAGTAGCATTTTGAAATAATTTCCCAGAAATTTCTATTTTTAGTAATCACGGCAACACCGTTCATCGAAATCAAAAACCGATACACAGAATTATGTATCTTAGTGTAATCTACTTGTGTGCCAAGTTATATTGAAATCAGACCAAAACTGTAGGAGGAGTAGCATTTTGAAATAATTTCCCAGAAATTTCTATTTTTAGTAATCACGGCAACACCATTCATCGAAATCAAAAACCGATGCACAGAATTATGTATCTTAGTGTAGTCTACTTGTGTACCAAGTTATATTGAAATCAGACCAAAACTGTAGGAGGAGTAGCATTTTGAAATAATTTCCCAGAAATTTCTATTTTTAGTAACCACGGCAACACCGTTCATCGAAATCAAAAACCGATATACAGAATTATGTATCTTAGTGTAGTCTACTTGTGTGCCAAGTTATATTGAAATCAGAAAAATTGTGTTGGAGGAGTAGCATTTTGAAATAATTTCCCAGAAATTTCTATTTTTAGTAACCAAGGCAACACCGTTCATCGAAATCAAAAACCGATACACAGAATTATGTATTTTAGTGTAGTCTACTTGTGTGCCAAGTTATACTTCAATCAGACCAAAACTGTAGGAGGAGTAGCATTTTGAAAAATTGTTTACAGACGGACAGACAGACAGACGGACGCATTACTATCGCATAAGCTCTTCTGGTCTCTGACCAGTAGAGCTAAAAATGACATATCACCCAAAAAGACACCGAAAGCGAATTCTTTGAATTTGCTTGTTCCCATTAATTTTCTATAGTGAGGTCATATGAAGACATGACTTATTATATATTGTTTTAATTATTCATTAGAGCCAATAAACTTGGAGGTTCAACGTGGTGGTTACAGTGAAGTGAACTATCGGAAAAAGTCGGTACCAAAGTGATGTCGCTGTTTGTTTTACGTTCTGTCAAACTGTAGACTGCGTAGACAAATTTTTTTTGTTGTTTGTATAGATATACATTATCTTCACATTGTCTTGTGTGAAAATACGTAATGTATTAGTAAGATCATCGACAGACTAAACGTAAGGAAAAGAATTGAAAATGCCAGCAATATAACACATATTTAAACCAGAAGTCTCTGTCGAGACTGAAGCTCTACTGGTTTGAACTTATAACAAAGGAAGAGAAAAGTACTTAAGCAGCTGGGATATGAAACTTTACAACAGCAATAAATAGAATAATGATCGTTGATAAAGTCTCTTTATGTATCTTAGTGTAGTCTACTTGTGTGCCAAGTTATATTGAAATCAGACCAAAACTGTAGCCAGTAGCATTTTGAAACAATTTTACAGATATTTCTATTTTTAGTAACCACGGCAACACCGTTCATTGAAATCAAAAACCGATAAAGAGAATTATGTATCTTAGTGTAGTCTACTTGTGTGCCAAGTTATATTGAAATCAGACCAAAACTGTAGGAGGAGTAGCATTTTGAAAGAATTTCACTGAAATTTCTATTTTTAGTAACCACGGCAACACCGTTCATCGAAATCAAAAACCGATATACAGAATTATGTATCTTAGTGTATTCTACTTGTGTGCTAAGTAATACTGAAATCAGACCAAAACTGTAGGAGGAGTAGCATTTTGAAAAATTGTTTACAGACAGACGGACAGACAGACAGACAGACGGAGGGACGCCGAACGCATTACTATCGCATAAGCTCTTCTGGTCTCTGACCAGTAGAGCTAAAAACTCACAACTTTAATTGATAGAAGAAAAAATGTGCCTTATGTGGGTTATTTTTTTTTATGTTAAAAATGTTTTAATCTGAAATGCATTGTGCCCCCCTTTTTTTTCCAAAGATAGACTTGTATAGGCATCGAACATTGCAGCGTAGGGTTAGTCCTCTCCCCCCCCCCCCCCCCCCCCTTTCCACAGACACATTGCAGTATAGGTAAAAAAAATGGATAAAGTTCTGCTATTTGGGGGAAAAAATTGGTACTGAAAGAGGTTCGAACCCACCCACCCCCTGGCAATGTCAACACAATTAAATGTCCAATTTGTGGTAAGATATGAAAGACAAGTTAAGGGTGATCGTTGTAAAATTAATATGAGAGCATTTCAGAAGAACAATTCAATTGAAAGCAGCCAAGAAAATGAAGCCAAATTTAACTAAGCGTCACCGAATCTAAAATAACTTTTCTCTTAACCATGTAAAAGCCATGAAAATCGAAAAGCAAACTTTGAAAAAAAAATTACG